GTGCAGGTTTTAAGGAAGTTTGGACCACCGTACTTACCCCTGTCCTGGCTTCTTAGGTTTTTCACTTAGGCTGGCGTGTGGCGCCGCATCCACATCAGCGCGCATTTCTATAAGTGTGCGCTTTGTGGGCTCCTATACAGCACCTGTTCCCTGTGTATGTGTATGTGAGTGCTCTGATGGGTGTCCAACCAAATATATGTTTACAAACAGTATTTATATATTGTAAGTATCCCCTTCAGCAAATCTTGGGGGTCTTCAGCCATGGTAAAGACCTCGGAGCAGGTTCCGGACGGAGTAAGGCTTCGGAGCAAGTTCCGGACGGAGTAAGGCTTTGGAGCAGGTTCCGGAGTAAGTTCCCAAGCAGGTTCCGGAAGGTTCTAGAACAGGTTCTGGGGAGCAGGTTCTAGAGCAGGTTCTGGAGCAGGTTCTGGAGCAAGTTCCGGGGCACGCTCCTGAGTGGGCTCCAGAGCAAGTTCCGGACAAATTCTGGAGCAGGTTGCAGAGGAGGTTCCGGAGTTTGGGACCAGTTTGCCACAAGTTCCAGAGGGCTTTGCAAATATATGACGGCAAATAATCCTGACACCTCATGACGCTGGCCTGTTGTCAGACATGTTGACATGCCGTCAGGCTACCATCCGGTCTTTGCTAAGCCTTGCTAACCTGCTATAAAAACTTTATATTTCTGACACGCTAAGATGTTGCCACGCCGATGAGCTGACATGCAAGGCCGGTTCCGGAAGAGGCTCCTCGATTTTGGTTTGTTGCAGGGTTAGTGTTGTCATACTTGCACATGTCTGGGCACATATAGAGGCGCTGACGTATTGTCGTATTAATATTTCCGCAGGGCACCACGGCACCACATTGAAAAGGTTCACACAATTGAAAACAGCAGTGTCTAACAAGCAAACTGCCAAATGTGTGCCCAGCTGTTGAAATTTTCTTGGGCATATTCATTTATATAGATGTGTGTATATATCCTCCGATGTGCTGATTTGTGTCGTCATGTGTGTGTGTAACCCTTGGAATCATAGGGATCCTTTTGGATTTGTTCGGTTTGCCTTTTTCAAAGCAGGGGGTCCAGGCAGTTGCGAGTTGTCCCTGGACCAACGAAGACGGACTCACAACTGGTGAAGCGAGAAGGGACGCCTTCTTGTGTACCTGCAATTTTCCATTTTTCGAATGGCGAGAGGCTAAGCCAAGAACCTCACGACACGGTGTTGCTTAGGGATTTGGTTCACTTTCTGCAGATGCGCACGAGCCGCCGTCACCCTGTTCGACTCGCTCACCGTCTTCGACCTTGAGCTTTTGGCCTCACTTCTTCTTACAGACCTCCAGGTTCTTTAGGACTTTCCTGGACCTTTCAGGATTTGGGTCTCTTAGGCTGGCGTGTGGCGCCGCAATCAAGTCAGTACGCATATCCATGAGTGTGTTTGGCTTCGTGCCAACCCGGGATGAGCCCGTAGAGTGCCTCCCGTGGACCCGTCGAACGGGTGTACGTCGTTATCTCCTCTGCCCGGAGATGTAGATGCCCAGAGCGGGCGAAGGTGGCCTAGGCCGTACGTACGATGATTTTCGTCCCATCTTTGGAATTCTAAGTTGGCCTATGCCTTTACGTGACCGCAGCGGTCAGAGGTGGCAGCCCTCTGGCAAGCCGTACGTGGTAGCCGTACGTGGTCGCAGCGACCAAAGCTTGTTCAAGGTTCTTTGGAACCTGTCGCGAGCTTAGTCCCCCCTCCTCCCCCTTCCCTTCCCCTTTCTTTCTTTGCTTTCTGGGGTTTTCCTGAATGGAATACTCAGGATCTCCCCTCTCTTTCTTTGGTGTGTCCCTGGACGATTGTTCGTAGCTGGGAACACCTCCCTTTCTCTCCTCTCCCTCTCTCTCCCTCTCTCTTTCTTTCCTTCTCTCTTCCCTCTCTTTTCCCTCTTCCTTGGGTGTCCCTGGATGCTTTCGTCATAGCTGGGAACCCTTTTCCTTTTTTTTGTTTGGTGTGTCCCTGGACGCTTGTGTCGTAGCTGGGAACACCTTCCTCCCCTTTCCTTTCTTCTCTTTCTTTTTCTCTTCTCTCCCTACCCCTCCCTCCTGTCAGGACCTTAGTGTGGGTTGCTACTAGGGGCTCCTGGCCTTCTTACTAGGACGCTCCTTTGGTGCTTCTAGGGGTTCCTGGCCCACTAGGCGCAAGGACGCTCTAGGGCAGAGATGCCTCCCCTCGGGGAGGCGTGTGTGTGTGTGTAACCCTTGGAATCACAGAGATCCGTCGATTTACTTAGTCTCACTCCACTTTTGGCGCGGAGCTTAAAATCTTGCCTCCCTTCGGGGAGGCGTGTGTGTGTGTAACCCTTGGAATCATAGGGATCCTTTTGGATTTGTTCGGTTTGCCTTTTTGAAAGCAGGGGGTCCAGGCAGTTGTGAGTTGTCCCTGGACCAACGAAGACGGACTCACAACTGGTGAAGCGAGAAGGGACGCCTTCTTGTGTACCTGCAATTTTCCATTTTTCGAATGGCGAGAGGCTAAGCCAAGAACCTCACGACACGGTGTTGCTTAGGGATTTGGTTCACTTTCTGCAGATGTGCACGAGCCGCCGTCACCCTGTTCGACTCGCTCGCCGTCTTCGACCTTGAGCTTTTGGCCTCACTTCTTCTTACAGACCTCCAGGTTCTTTAGGACTTTCCTGGACCTTTCAGGATTTGGGTCTCTTAGGCTGGCGTGTGGCACCGCAATCAAGTCAGTACGCATATCCATGAGTGTGTGTGGGCTCACCTGTGCACGCAGTATGTGCAATCAGTGCTCGCCTGTGGTGTGCTCTCTGTGTGCCCTCATACATGTGTTCGTATGTGTGGGATATGGGACATGTCTACAGTCCTGTGTGCCGTGATATCTGTACTTTCATATGTGTCGGCAGATGTGCTCTGGTGTGCTACATCTCCAATCGGAAGCCCACCAATCGGATGTGACTTGATGTACTGCCAGTGTGGATGCGAACTGAAGCTGCATTACTCTCTACATCGCCTTCTAGCTGCACCTTCCAATGGAAATAGTCTAGAATGCTATGGCATCCGCGTATATATTTTGTACTGTATATATATATACCCAAAGCATGTCACGATGCATGTCTCTCTTCCGTTTGCCATCTTAACCAATTGCATATCCTATCATTACTTTGTCCCACACCTCCAAGGTTCACCCTCCATGGGCGATCTTCAGCAGACCCTGCCCCCCCGCAACTCCGGCCCAGCGACATCTCCCTCTGCGCCCAGCCTGGCGTCAATCGGTCGGACGGAGTCTTTTTTTCGGGGCCGCAGTGCCCTCAGAACATGGAAATCCCAAGTGGATTGGAGGGGTGCCCAAGTTTTCTAGCCCAAGATACACCTGGTGCCCTTCACCTCACGGAAGTCTGCAAGAACACCTGCCCTTTCTCCTTTCTCCTTTCTAGGTTTGTCCGCACGCCTTCCGTCCGCGGAGCACGTTGCGATCGACGTGGGCGGTCCACGGCGCAGAGTGCACGACGAGCGCCAGCTGGTCCAAGTCGAAAAGCCTGGTGTCCACGAGCGAAGACCAGGACGAGGACGCGCGTGTGACAAGGACCAGCAGGACACAAGCAGAGCAAGACAAGCAAAACAAGCAGGATCTCAACACGTGTTTCGGAAGAACTGTGCGTGTTGAGCGAAGACGCAAGCTTCCAGGAGTGGATCAGTCTTCCGAAGACGCAAGATCGTTGCTGGGCGCTGGCAGTTTCTCTGGGTCCCGAAATCCACAGGAGCGAATGAAGCTCTCACAAAACTACAGACACCTTTGCCGTCTAAAGAAAACACACACACACACAAGAGGCACTCCGCCTGGTCTTGAGATGGTCCACAGATGCATATGCTGCATAGCACTGCAAGAAGCGTGACGCTGCCAGGTACATTCGCCCCCCGGAACCATGCGCGGTGCATCCCCATGGCGCAAGATGAGACCCTAGATGGAAAGGTCCGGCATTCACGAAAGGAAACAGTGTTCAGACCTCAGTCAAATCGATCAAAATACACATCAAAAGTGAGAAACATCTTCTCTTGTTGAAGAACCGGTCTCGTAGGTGTGCTGACCATTGCTGCCAAACCATCTTCGCATCACTTAAAAACTTGAATCAGTGCGACCTCAGTCTGTTGCAGCTTCCCACATGCAATCGTCAACAAAACATCCAACACATCCAAGATCCGCCTCTGGGGTCCAAGTAGGCCATCAAAAGAGGAGGTTTTAGATGTGAAAATGAAAAGAATCCATTCGATGTCGCAGCTCTTTTCGCAGCTCCTTTTGAGTGAAATTCCCGAACATTCGAACCATTCGAGCAGTCGCGCATCTTGTACCATCCAGGAAGCCTCGAAGCTGTGTCTGCGCGCGCTGTAAACGAGGAGCCGAGCCAAAACCCTGTGGGGTACATATCAGTAAGTTCTTGCAATGACTAGATTCACTTCCATAGGGACTTCCAAAGTTTCTTCATCCTTCTTGGAGGAGACTGCGTCGTCCAACTGGTCTTTCACTGAACTCAATGGCCCAAGTTCTGGCTTCAGCGGGAGTGACTCGAGCTCGAGACATCTGCGGCCCAACGAGACGAGTGTCCGGCTGCGTGGAAAATGCCGGCGACGGCACCCGGAGGCGCCCGGTGTGAGTTGGTGTCTGCACAGGTCCTATGCGCCGTCCAATACAACCAGAAACCACGGATTGGGAATGGGAAAAATCGATGAATGATGAAAGCCCCATTGGTGCTTAACGGCCTCGATGTCCACCTGTATCAAAGTCTTGCCCAACTCTTCGAGAGGTTTTCCACACACTGTGCTGGCCGTGTGCCAGTCCTCTCTCACACACACGCACTCAGATCTCAAGGCAGATGTTCATGACTCCTTTCGCTTCCAGTGACAAAAAGATTCGGAAATGCTGAGCACAAATCGAGTTATGCAGAGGGCTACCGTGGATCTGTCTTGAGGTTCGTCTCGGTATCGGTAGACTGGACAGAAGAAGCAATTACTTCTTCTTCTCATCTCTGCTATGGCCATTCTCCGCAATTGCCTCGGGGGGCCAAAAAAACACGACTATCCATGATGATGAAAGAAGTGAGGTCAATACCAAGAGTCACTGCCCGCACTAGTTTCATGGTTTCAGTTTCAGCCCGAAAGCAACCGACATGTCTCTTTTTTCCAAGATACTGAGGGCACAATCATCCGAGGAAGGATTGTAGCCGAAAAAGCCAATGCTGTCGCAGGGAACCAAGCAGCTAGGCATCCATACTTTTTTTGTGTCTTCCTCAGCAACCAACCGAGCATATTCCATGTAAGTCACAGAAAAAACAACAGTAGTAACCAGCAGCTACGAACGGGGCTCATCGCTCAGAACTGAGCCTTCGGACACGAACGGGGCGACCCTGGCCGTCCGAACGGAGCAGATCGGACACAACAGTGCTCTGAGGTCCGGAGCACGTCTCGTTGCTGTTTGCCATCCGAGACGGCCAGGTTCGCTTTGGGTTGGACTCGGATCCCACCGTTCCGTTGGATCCCAGATCCCCCTCCACTGTGCAAGACCAGCATCCCTGCAAGAAGACCACCAAGAACCATTCCTGCGGATGGCGAAAGGGGAGGGAGCTCTGCCAAAGACAAAAACAGGAAGACTCACTTCTTTACATGGGTCCTGGTCAAAAGGAGGAGACCATCCAAACCCACTGGAATAAAAGAAGTCTCCCAATAAGCCACATCCATATGGGTCTAATTCAAGTACATGTTCAGGCGATCGGCTTACTAGCTATTATCTGTTGTTTGGGGGTTCTCTTCAGAAGTTTGTCCCACCATGTCTGAAAAAAGAACACGCAACGTTGTGACCTCATGCGGTCGTCATTCGTCCGGTCAGTCATTCGTCCGGTCACACGGAGTCACCCACGTTTTGTTCAAGATCCACGGAACCAGCCATGCAGAAAGGACGATTCCTTTTTGTCTGCCCATTTTTTCGAAAAAAAGAAGCTTCGAAAGAAAAAAGAACAGTCTCGAAAAAAAAAAAAAAAAAAACTATAATGACTTTTGCAAAAATTAAAAATTGAGGCGGTTGTTTTTTCTGCTGCCTGTTTTTGAAGGCGTTCACTTCTGAATTTGTGGTAGAACATGTATTTTGGATTGGGCCCCGGAGTTGCTTCCAGACTGGTCAGGATCCACTGTTCCTGGGATGTGGTCGTAACCAAAAAGACTGGGTGACTGTCTCCATCGACCTTCCCTCAGATGGTCAAGGCGCGTCTCTGCTAGGGAATCTACAACTCCAATGAGCTGTCTGAAAAAACGAATCGTCTTCAGTCCTGCACAACACACGGCGTTCAAATAGACCTTTCGTTGGCAAGGGACAGGCTCGCCCTTGAGAAAGTTCACAAACGCCTGCAGCGTGGGCGGGCCAAGATGCCGCACCCACGGACTGCGAGGGCGATGCCGTGGTCGTTTCGTTTCGGGTTCAAGCCATTTCGGGCGACCTCGGGCCATGGCAACTGCTACGGCCCCGCAAGCACAAGTACTAGCAAGATTTGATGCTAGTTCCACCCTTCAGTGGCTTGTGAGGAATCGTGGTGAAGAAACCAAGCACAGTCGCTGGTTCTTGCCACCAAAACATCCATTTTGGTACGAGGGTACTAAATTAGATGCTTTGTATGATTCTGTCTTTGTGCACCCCAAGGTCTTTGAGACCCCAACCAAGGTTGGTGGTTGAGGTTCCCAGAAATTTTCAAGAGGACCAACAATCAATTGAGGTGCAGAACAAAGTGCCTCTCTTCAGCTTTGCCACAAAACAATAGACAAACCCTGAATGTAGGCTGTTGATTAATGAAACCCCCATCTCTGGAGTTGTAAAACCATTGGTGGGGGGGGCTCTTGATCAACAGTCAACATGAACTTTCCGTTGTGAACCTGCGACCGGCTGGGCCTTTCCCAGGCTCATGGCCGCATCAGTCTGACCTCCGGCAGTATGAGTAGCTCGCATGGGCACGGCGCTAAAGCTGCTGGACGTGGCATTCCTTGGCAAGACCCGGAGGCATGAGCAGTCCGAATGAATTGGGTTCCAAATCGGTCCGAAGACTTCGGATTTTCCTGGGGATTTGGGGGGTTCTCTTCAGTATCTTCCACAAAAGCTGAAACTTTCAAGTACGGAAGGTGTTTCACCTTCCCGACGTGTCATCGAAAGCCTCCGTCAAGCTTCATGAGCCCTTGCGACAAAGCCCAGATTTGCATGGCAAGGGTAGGTCGCTCTCGATGCCTCTTCAACCAGATTCCAATCAGGATCATGATAGAGGACAACAGCATTCCTGGCCACCACTCACTAGCAAGAAATGTGTTTCACACAGCAAGCCCTACAAACAAATTGAAACCATGTCCTGGTGAAGTCTTTCCTTCAAATACCAGGTCACCATCACAGGTCTTTGGAAACATTCCAGCGAGCAAGCCTCACAGACAAACAGCAAGCTCCATGAAGCCTAAAATGTCTTCTCCATGGCCTAAAGCCTAGAGAGTCAAATCCACGTTCGGTTTCGCCACCTCAGGAACCCGCACCCTGGGACGGTAGCCCTTGCTTTGTGAAGCCACGACCTGTCCCACGCCTCCAGCATAGTAGAGCGTGCACATCGCTAGAACCTTGGAGCCTTGCTTCGCATCTCCCGCCGCATAGAACCGACCTGAAGTCGGACGGGAACAAGGACAGCGGTGAGAGCGGTGACCTGGATCGGTCACAGAATATTCACAGGACCAGTTCTATTATGATCTATTATGCCACCAGAATATTCAGGAAAAAAAATCTATTATGATCTATGCATAATGCTGTTCTTGAACATCCAGAGTTTTAACAACCGTAGACCCCAGATCTAGTAATCCAGTGAAAACAAATCAGCGGTTTTTAGTTAATAACCGTAGATCACAATTCCTTGCGGTTTCACTGCTTCATCAGAGTTCTAACAACCGCAGTGCATGAAATTCAACCGCTTTTGAGCGTTCTTCCACACCATCTCGGCCGCAACATGCCATCAAGGCCGCACCTGCGTTGACGCACCCCCCAGAGGTATAGCCAACGGGTGTGGTCAGCTCAACCACCGCAATACCTCCGGTCTTGCGCAGCACACGCAAGCTGTGCACAAGACTGGCCTGAGATGCTGACCGTTGATCATTCCGGAGATAATGGTATACAAGCCTGCAGCACTGCAAGGAAGAATTTCAAAGCAACATTCAATTTAGTCAACTTTGGCAAAAACCTTCACGAAATCATGAAAGTCAAACTTTCTGTGCCTGCAACTCCCAGGATCTTCAGAAAATCCGGCCGCTTGTCCAGCGGCATACGCTGATACAAAGATGAAGTCATGATGCAAAACACCAGGACAGCACTGAATGTGCTTGAACAACACAGCTCAAGAAGAATCAAGAAAAACATGTTTTCATGTGTGAGTTCACCGTTACATAGACTCGTCACTCGGGTGTAACAACATACAGCAAAAAAATCATTGTTTGCATCTTGCATGTTTTATCAATGAAGAATGTAGCATTGCCAGAACTGTGGCCATTGCCTCCAATTGAAGGCAGCGTCTCAGCTTTTAAGAATCCTGGATGGCAACCCCACTCGATTCGGCTGTTCGATCACCTCGTGTCTGCGTGTTCGTTGCAAGTTCTCCAATCTAGGATCCACACCCATAGTTGAATGCCATGGCACAGTGAACAAAGCCACCGCCTAATGATGTCTGTATTGACGCCGCAGCTCCAACTTTTGGCAACCTACTCTTTCAGATACGGGGATGTGACCTGGCACACCATCACCAATTGGTCTTGAATTTGTGTTCAAGTTGTTGCAACTCTCAGGACTGGAGCAACATCACAATTGAGCCAAACTTGGAAAATGACATGTTATGTTGGAAAACTGTTTCCGTCGTTTTTTCATGCACACCCCTCCATCCACCCAACATTTCACTCCAAAACAGTCAGCAACATTCGCATGGGTGCTCAACTCGACACATCAACGAATCTTGCTATCCAATCTGACATCTAAGGGACAAAGTAATGACTTTGGGGTGCGAAGGTAAATTTTCAAGGACTATGTGCAACCACGGCAAATTTGAGTTCTAACACCAAGACGTGCAATCCGATCCTTGCATAGTCACCCCTCTCTACAGTCTTTGTTGCACAAGCAAATGTGTTTCACAAAAGTGTTGCATTCGTTCTTGGTGCATACCCCTCCATCCACTCAATACTTCACATCAAAACAGTCAGCAACATTCGCACACGTGCTCAAACCGACACATCAGTTTATTTGTGTTGCAATGACATTGCGCAGTCCAGTGCATGGGCGCATGTCATGCCAGCAAGCTATTGCGTGTCTTGGACCCTTTTCGAACGGGCAAGAACCAATTGTCATTCATACTCTTGGTGTCTTGCACAAGAAATTTAAATCATATGGAGCGTTTCTTTTCACTTGGGGGTTCACACAAGCTTGCCAAGGCTAGGGGCTTGGCTATGTACTGTGCGGTCTTGATGTGGGTGGGTGGGTTTCATTTGAAGGATCTAAGGCCGCAAGGTCAAAAGGCGACCCTCCGCGCCCACTCTTGAAGTTCTATGGCCACCGTACAAATCAATTCAGCAAGACACCCGGAAATTTAGAAGCTTTTCTAAAGAGTAAACATGACAATGTCATCGTTTTCAACGAGGATCATCGTCATTCATACTCTTGGTGTCTTGCGCAAGAAGTTTAAATCATCTGGAGAGCTTCTTTTCACTCGGGGGTTCACACGAGCTTGCCACCCCCATTTCTCTTTCGTGGGAACACACGAGGTTCACAAATTGTTTCAAATTGAGCAATGCCTTTTCGGAAATCTCAGAACAATCTAAGGAAGTTGTCAGGAAAGGATGTTCACACAGCCTTGAAGGGAAGTCGCTGATCTTTGCTTCAGTGGGGACACGAGCAAACCATGTCTTGCTGCTCAATTCAGCTTCAGCGTTCAAGTGAAAGGTCATAAGGGCCTCCGCCCATTGTCCCGCAAATCTCACACTATCATTGTCGCCGAGCCACGTCACAAGGTTGTCACGCAGGTATTCTTTCCAGAACCATAAGGCAAGGACTGCTGCCGCAAGCTCCAGTTCATAGATTATTGACTCTTTCTCTTCGCTTCCAACAATCTCACAGTCTTCGTGCTCCAGTTTGAATCCAAACCAGGAAGTACATTCACCCATGGAATTCACTCACTAGTACAGCACCAATGCCGCCAGTGTTGTCTGTTGTCTCATACGCGGCATCTGTGTAAACGAACAGTGCCTCGCCATCAGTAATGCACACAGGCCGCCCGCTTTCCAAGCGAGTTTTCATGGCCATCAATGCTCTGACAGTGTCATCATCCAGCCTCTTTTGCCTCGAGTACGCGTGGTCAACAATCTTCTTCAAAACCAGTTTCCCCAAGCGGCCATGCATGAAGCTATCGGCAAAGCCCAGGCGACCACGCAGCACCAACGCCTCACGTTTTCCTAGTTCCCCGCATGTGAGGATTTCAGATAGCTTGAGGAAATCTTGCTTGCGTTGCTGTGCGTTGTAAACCTGCAACAGTCTTTCCTCTGGTGTAGGACGCACCGCCACCGAATTGCATGACAAGTCAGCACCCAAGAAAGGAATGACACGGTCACAAGGAACGCAGACGTCATGCCCTTCCGTAGCCTTTGGCTCAAGGCGTCTCGGCTCAAAACGCTCAGCAAAAGCTGTTGAGTAGGAGGTTCAAGGCTACTTCTTAAAGAGAAGGAGTTGTCTCCGTTGTAGTCGGCGCAGTAGTTAGGTTAGTTAGGACCTGGTTTTTGTCTGTCCGTTTGCACCTTTTTCATACTTGAGTTGTGTCCTCAGACACTGCTTGAGTTCGACCTGAGCCTGAGCTTCTCTCTGTTGTGTCCTCAGACATTGCATTGAGAAGCTCCTTTCGACCGGTCTATACGCGGAGTCTCCCTCAGGTTGTGTCCTCAGACACTGCTTGAGAAGTGACGACTTCGATAGGTACTTCGTCTTAGGTCTTTTCAGTTTTGGTGCTAGTCTTGTTATTATGTCGTTGAATACTGAACCGGCACACTGATATGCTTACTGCAATAGGGGAGGGTGAGATCAGCAGTATCTTTTTGGTGTTCAAGGCCATGTTTAAGAGAAAATCCTTTCTTTCTTCCACCAATGCCTGCAATTGGATAAGCCACACGAACATCATAGAAAATCCATGAATTTTCAATACCTGAAAAGGTTACTGCGAAAGCAAGCACTCCGCAAAGCACTTTACAAAGAACTATTCATTTCTATTAAGTGCCTATGCCAAAGAAAGACTTCGCGCAAAAAGACTCACGAGATCTCCTAAACGGTTTGCAAAAGGCCTTTCATTGGGCGACGCAAAGGTACTACTTCAGTAAGTGGCGCCCTGTTGGGTTGGTTTGCTGGCAGAGTATTTTCTTGTCAAACTTCTGTGCTGTTGAGGCGTTCTCATTTTGAGTTTTGTCTCATAATATGCATTTCCTGTGCAAAGCTTTGAGCTCTCCATAGCGTACAGCGAATTTGTGACAAGGGTCAGCCTGTTGTCCATGAGGCGTAAGTCTTGCCAGGCTTGTGAAGTCAGGCCACGCTTCACACCTCTGGTTTTCGCTGCCGTGTTTGTTGACACTATCGCTTCCACTCTCTAAGAAAGCATTTTTGTAGATCAGCTTCGGTTTGCCAGCCTTTCTTGTTGCTCGCCGTGTTTTGCTTGCTGGCAGTTTGTTTTCTGGTCAAATATCTGTGCTGTTGAGGCGAACCATCAAGTTTGTGCAAGAATATGTCTTTCCTGTGCAAAGCTCTGCGCCTTTCATCGCCAGGTACAGCCAACTGTGGACATGGCCCAGCCTGTTGTCCAGGAGTTGCTCGCCTTGCCAGGAAAGCATGATGGACATCTATACTGGTGGGCCTTTCGCGTTGGGGGACGCTAAGTCACCAAGTCAGTAAGTGGCGTTCTGCCTGGTCTGTTTGTTGTCAGATTTTTTCCATTCAGATTATATTGCTGTGGAGGTGTTCTGACATTGTATTTTCCCGATTGATATGTCTTTCACAAAACTTGGAGCTCATAGCGGCAGGTATCCATCAATTGTTGGCAGAGTATTTTCTTGTCAAACTTCTGTGCTGTTGAGGCGTTCTCATTTTGAATTTTGCCCCATAGTATGCATTTCCTGTGCAAAGCTTGGAGCTCTCCATAGCGTACAGCAAATTTTTGGCAAGGGCCAGCCTTTTGTCCATGAGGTGCAAATCTAGCCAGGCTTACGAAGTCAGGCCATGCATAACACCTCCGGTTTTCTCTGCCGTTTTTGTTGACACTATCGCTTCCACTCTCTAAGAAAGCATTTTTGTAGATCAGCTTCGGTTTGCCAGCCTTTCTTGTTGCGGCGAGCTACTAAGTCAATGAGTGGCGCCCTGCCTGTTTTGCTTGCTGGCAGTTTGTTTTCTGGTCCAATATCTGTGCTGTTGAGGCGCACTATCAAGTTTGTGCAAGAATATGTCTTTCCTGTGCAAAGCTCTGCGCCTTTCATCGCCAGGTACAGCCAACTGTGGACATGGCCCAGCCTGTTGTCCAGGAGTTGCTCGCCTTGCCAGGAAAGCATGATGGACATCTATACTGGTGGGCCTTTCGCGTTGGGGGACGCTAAGTCACCAAGTCAGTAAGTGACGTTCTGCCTGGTCTGTTTGTTGTCAGAATTTTTTCCATTCAGATTATATTGCTGTGGAGGTGTTCTGACATTGTATTTTCCCGATTGATATGTCTTTCACAAAACTTGGAGCTCATAGTGGCAGGTATCCATCAATTGTTGGCAGAGTATTTTCTTGTCAAACTTCTGTGCTGTTGAGGCGTTCTCATTTTGAATTTTGCCCCATAGTATGCATTTCCTGTGCAAAGCTTGGAGCTCTCCATAGCATACAGCAAATTTTTGGCAAGGGCCAGCCTTTTGTCCATGAGGTGCAAATCTAGCCAGGCTTACGAAGTCAGGCCATGCATAACACCTCCGGTTTTCTCTGCCGTTTTTGTTGACACTATCGCTTCCACTCTCTAAGAAAGCATGTTTGTAGATCAGCTTCGGTTTGCCAGCCTTTCTTGTTGCGGCGAGCTACTAAGTCAATAAGTGGCGCCCTGCCTGTTTTGCTTGCTGGCAGTTTGTTTTTTGGTCAAATATCTGTGTTGGTGAGGCGCACTATCAAGTTTGTGCAAGAATATGTCTTTCCTGTGCAAAGTTCTGCGCCTTTCATCTTCAGAGTAGGCAAGGACAACCAGAGTGAATGTGCAAAATGGCTTACTGATATGGCCAAGAACCTGCTTGCGCCTATCCCGTTTAGAGAAGTCTTTGTGATCTTGGCCCTCTTCCTCCCGCAACTCACGTTCCTTGATGGAGCGCGCACACAGCAAAGCCTATGGGCCAGCCCGGAAGTAAAGCAGCACGGCCTCCAGGTCGACATTACACCCACGGCAGCCGGTCTTCAGGAGATGCACGAAT